TTGTTTCTAATTAATCTATCAGACTACCCTCTAAAAGTTTTAAGAGAAAAAACAGTGAAATCGGAAGTTCTACAAGACGCAACAGCACCTAAAACTGTTTTGTGGTCACGTATCAAAACATACCACGGATAACCTTTAAATGCCACCCACACCACCAGTAATCCCACAAAACATGTACACTGAAAGAATGCTTACTCAGTGCAATTCAACCAGCAACACGAATGTCGGCATGTTTTTGTGGTGATAGAACAAATATGACACAGAAAAAACGCCTGCCTACTCAGAACAATTCGACGAATGACGTATGCCGCCATGTTTTTTACAATGACATACGGCGGTGTTATCGTGGTTGCCTACTTTCTCACCACATCTGACACTCATTGTCATCTTTATTTGGTTGTTTTGAATGGATTTCCTAATAAACAAATCAATATTGCATTAGGAAAAACAAATCAAACACCTCACGTGTATTTGTGATTGGGTTCATTCAAGAGTGATAAATTAAACAATATAATTTGCAAAATAACTCCCATGGAGGTTTCTGATTATTCATTCCTCTATATTGCAAATGGACATTACGTTATCTACCAGAATAAAGTTATTCTCCCAATTATATTGTTTTATTTATCACTCTTGAACGAACCCAATCACAAATACACGTGAGGTGTTTGAATTGTTTTCCCTAATGCAAAATTAATTTTTGTTATTAGGAAAACCATTCAAAACAACCAAATAAAGATGACAATGAATGACAGATGTCGTGAGAAAGTAGGCAACCGCGATAGCACCGTCGTATGTCATTGTAAAAAACATGACGGCATATGTCATTCGTCTAATTGTTCTGAGTAGAGAGGCGTTTTTCTGTGTCATATTTGTTCTATCACCACAAAAACATGACGACATTCGTGTTGCAGGTTGAATTTATGTTGAATTACACTGAGTAAGCATTCTTTCAGTGTATATGTTTTGTTTGAGGGGTCGCCTCTGGTCTCTGGTAGTACCAGGGGGGTGAAACTCATTAATCAGATTCAAGCGGATAACCAAATCAAAATGGTGTTTACCATTATGGGTTGGTATTTACCGATCCGTTCAAACGAGTGTGGTTATCAGTTTGGTTATAAGATCCGTGACGTCATGAATCAGCTGTTTGTGTCACAGTTATCACCGCAAAATTGTGATATTTACCCAACTCAGGAGTAGTTTTATATTTCTGGTTATTATTTGAAATGTGACAAGTTAGAATTTTGCCGGGTATTGGATATTGTTATTATACTTCAGCTTCATTTTTGGGAAGCTTGATACAGGCTGACATCAGTGTTAGCATAAAGTGGAGCACCTTATTAGTTATACTCATTACTGTTGTTGGGAACACTTTCAATCTAGATCCTATGTTTAACAAAGTATCCTGTGTAGCCATATACCACAAGAATATTAAAATATCGCCATTTAACTCACTGGATGATGTCCACCTGTATACGGTTTTGCTAATATCTTTTTTCATCATTTCTGCTAAATCAATAAATGTTTTCTTTGACATGCGGAAAACTTTAGAGAATTGAAAGTTATCATAGCTACAAAACCATGGTCCCATCATTAAAAAATGTTTTCTAAAAAAAAAACATTTCCCCCATGAATATTATGAAAGGTTTCTTATTTAAACTTTCCATACACCGTTGTAGACAAAAAAGCACCGATTATTAAGTGATAATAAAAATAATCAGAGATTATATACACACTTTTCTAAAATAAACAACTTGCAACAAATCCGCGGTTAAAACCAACGCGTTCAAGCGATTCGTGTGACTGGCATAATCAACCCGTGTGTCATCTTGAACCATATTATAACCGCGGCACATAACACAGAAATGTTGGTTATTCGCTTGGCTTGGATTTGATTATATTGTCGAATGGGAAACAAAGCAGTGTTGCTGGTGTATAATATGACAACCATGTCGCACCCTCAAAAAATGGCGACTTATTCACAACTGATGTTGTCTGATTGGCCAAATTTAAAGTTCGGGCAGGTTTCTTCCTGTGCTCTGTGCTTTGCAAAAATAACCTTACTTTTTCAGCATGTCATTTTCTTAACATTTCATTTTAATTAAATAAAGTCCCTATTATGTTATTTGAGCCATATGCATTTTGTTCGGAATTGTGAAGTATAACAATGTAAGTACACAAAGCTGTAATACCTATGTTTGTAAATACTATGAGACAAACTCCACATCAAAACTGTTTCTCTTTTAACCCTTAACTGGTGACGTGCCGTATGAGATACATAAACGGTGAGGTGCCGTCTGGCAGACTATTTTTTATATGAGGTTAAAAATGAAACAATTGAAAATTTTCATTATTTTTTTATTAAACATAATTAGTCCGGACGTTTTTGAATATAAACTCACAAAAATTAACAAAAAAAATACCCTAGAAAATCATGAACTAAAAAACATAATAAACATATTGCACAAAGACCTTAAAAAATATGACCATCGAACAAGGCTGCACAATCAAAAGAAAAAGACAACCAAAAGCGTTTTCCTTCTGAAGTTTTGTTGAAAATATATAAGGAAAATGTAAAAATATTTATGCATTACTTATTTTAAAAAATATGCATTCCAGCAACTATAAATTTTTATTGTTTTTCAGAGCAATTTTTGCACATTGGATGGGTGCACTGTAAGCAAACGGGTCGTTTGCATTGCAAACAAAGGAACTTTGTCATTCTTTTTTTTTTCTTGGACATAAATAACAAAGTTTACGTTTTTCTAAAACCAGTTCCTGCCTCTGAATAAGTTCCTTTTCTTCTGGTATTCCAATAATACGCCTAATTGAAGTTCGTATTTCACGGGGGATTCGAGGAATGACCATACGCCTTTTCATATGTTCCTGCACGAGCTGCTTAGCCAACTGCATCCCAAAAATGCTCTTCTCTTTGATTATAGTGTTGTTTTTATAACATTGGTGAAGTATATAAGCGTTTGTAACTGAGATATCGAGAAGGCGGAAGAAAATTACAAACGGCCATCGGCGAGATCTTCGACTTGAAGAACTCTTCGAACATTTCTCGTCTAGTGAATCTACTCCGCTTTTATTCTCATTATAATACGAAATTGTTTCGGGTTTTCCTGTGGAGGGATCAGAGAAAATGCTATCATGCATTGAAGATATCAAGACTGTGGCCTTCCCAATTTTTCCAACGTGACTTATCAATGTACATTCTTCTCGAAATCCATAAAGTGATGAGCCTTGAGGTCTTTTCCTATTTGGCAAGAAAGTTGGTGGAATTTCAGCCTTATTTTTCTTCATGGTACCGACATAAGTGAGATTATTTTTTCGTAAGACGTCCACTAGCTGTATAGATGTGTACCAATTGTCGGCAGTAATATTACGATTGGTGCCGAAAATTGGACTGCGCAGGCGTAATACGGCTTGGGTAGGTTTTAATAATTTTTTATCTTCGGCAGGTAGTCCAAATCCATCAGAATCTTTTCCGCAATAAATGTACGCGTTATACAGTTAGCTATTTCTTGCATTAGTCAAACATTGAATTTTTATGCCGTACTTTGCCGGCTTATTAGGCATATAGATTTTGAAAGAACATCTGCCTCTGAAGCTGACAAGCATTTCATCTACTGTTGTAGACTGACCAAGTCCATATAAGCTTTGACAGTTTTCGATGAAGCTATTGAAAATAAAAGAAATTGCGGCAGTCGGATCGATTTTTTTACGCTCTTCTCTATCTTCAAAGTTGTCAAATCGAATCACCGCAAGGAGAACAGAAAATCTTTTTTTGCTCATCACTGCTCTGAACATTTCGCGACCAGTCCTATCGGTGGCAAATATTCTGTCAATATTTTCGTGATTGGAGTTGAATATAGCTGTATAAATTAAGAGGCCCAAAAATGCTTTCAGTTCAGTAATATCTGTCTCTCCAAGTTCACTTCTAGATATATCAGAATAACGTACACGTATTGCACATAGCTTTCTGTTAGTGCACTCCACAATCTCTTGCAACATGTTGTCCCCAAAAAGTAACTTCCAAACTGACAACGGATCAGCTGCCGCACCAAGAGTTTTAGCCCTTGCCTTCAAAGTAGGAACTTTTATGACAATATTATGTTTTCTCGTTTTTGATGAAGGGCGAACTTCTGACGTACACCACCTATAACGATTTTTTCCGTACACATAGGTTTTTTTACCGTCTGTATCCGAATCGTCTATATTTGGATCATCAGTGTTCACCTCAACTTCACTATCACCACCGTCACATGAAAGTTCCGAGTTTGACTCATGTTCGGACTCAATAACAAAGTTTTCAGGTACATCATCTATGTCACTTCCACTGTCAGACGCCTCATTAAACCACTTCAGAAGGGTTTCTTCATAATGGGGATCACCTAAACGGACACGTTTCGAGGGCCCGGCCATATTTTCGAAATTAACTATAACAAAACAACTAACACTAACAGTGACGTGCCGTCCGACAGACTGTGTGGTTCTAATAAACTCCGCAATAACCTGCAAGACAGTGTTGCCAGAATTTATGATCGAAGTGTACTAGCCTTGAGCCGAAAAATGTACTAGATTATAATAAATTGTACTAGATTCAGTTTAAGCTGCTGCTCACACTATTTTTAATATAAAATACATGTGAGGATAAATAGGAAATAACAGGCAAAATAATATTATATATATATATATTTAAAAACTGAATATAAAACAAAAAACAATATAAAAACTAGATCTAAGGAATCATATACCTAAAACTAATAAAATAAGTAAACATAATAAAAATCAAATTAAAATCTTTGGTATTCTTAGGAACTAAACAGAACAACCATTTTTTATACATATAATAATAATAATATATGTACACAGAACACAGAATGTTCGAAGGTACACAAGGTATTTTTTTGGAGATGATTGACATTTTGACACACCACACGAAGTGTCATAATTTATTTGTAAACAATCTGTCTACGACAAAGAGACTGTGACGGTGGTTGGTGTCTTTTTTGCTTTTATGATGTTTTTTTCATGAGTCTGGGATGATGCATGTCGTCCTAAATGTTTAAAACCTCCAGCAATAAATTTTGAGCAAGCTTTACAGAATGACTGTTGTTTTTTTTTCTTCTAACCAAGGATAGATTCGTATCCACTCTGATCTAAATTTTTGTTTGTAGTGTTTTTTCCTCTTTTTCTCCACCTGAGGCGTGCTAGGAATTTCTTCAGACGAAGTCATACTATCTGTATTCTCGGAAGAACTAACGGCTGATGTACTTGCTACTTCAGTTGTAGGTTCTTTTTTCTTCTTCAAAAACCTATAAAAATTATTCTGTTTGTAACAAAAATATTGCACTTTGCAATTGCAAATTTAGAAAATTCAATTAGGTGATAATATTATTTACCTGTCCATAATGGAAACCCCTTGATCTGAGATGAGAATCGGAGCAACTAACTAAAGGGATAGGGGATTACCAATAAGCAATAAGCCACACACGTATGTTAATAACAACAAACCATTTAAGCCAAAGAAAAGACCTATAACTGAATGTAAATTCGGTGTTTATGGTTTGTTTTCAAATTTTTAAATTGCACACCCTTCTAACCTTCTTTCTACTATGCTCCTCCCAAACAGTCTGTCATCTGTCATTAGTTTCAATAATTTCTGGCTGCGTGGCTGCCTAATTTCTGCACACGATAATAGGCAACCCAGAATACACCATACACGCCAAACATGCGAAAATGATTTGTTTTACAGTTTAAGTTCAATTCTAATGATACTTTTCATTTCATCAGGGCAAAATTGTTGTGTTTCATGTTTTACTAGTCTGAACTAAAGTTGTTATTGAAAAATTCGAAAGTCGTACTAGATTTTCAACAAAACTTACTAGCGTACAAAATCATGTTAAAATGTACTAGATCTAGTACATTTGTACTAGACTGGCAACACTGCTGCAAGATACTGACGCGCCGCCACCACAAATTTGATGATCTGTTGTCGGCTAATAGGACGAGGAATAGGTGGGGGTATAATAATGTGGGCGGGACAAAATCCAAAATATAGACAAATATTACTGGCGTGTAGTCTGTCAGACGGCATGTCACCAGTTATGGGTTAAGGTGATCCAGGTCATTAGCCAGGCTTCTGGCAGATCCTGAGGAAGATCATAGATGCAGCAGTTACTCATTTTAGGAATGTAATATTTGAAGATCGTACCTGTTTGTATCTCCACATCACTCTTTGAACAGTTGATCGCCACGAAAAGTTCAACAGCTGCCGTTGTCAACCCCTGAGGTCCTGTGAATTATCAGAAGCTCAGAGATTACTTCTGATCTAACTAAAAGGCTAAGCTCTGAAGGATATTTGCAGAACATAACATTTGTAAGTTTTTATATAACTCAATAACTAGTGATGATTTGTACTGCTTTTTGTCCAAGTTAGTTTTCATACTTTGTTTTAAATCAGCTATTGTTAGAGCAGTAGGATTGATATGTAAAGCTCACTATAATTTTAATGAAATCAAAGCCAAGTATTGTTATTGAACAATAACATGGTTGCCCTCAGGGGGGTGTGGTAACAGTTATCTCTTGATGATGATCAGCACATCTGAGAAAAATTCCTGTGGGTACCCATGGACAATCATATTATTGTTCTAATAAAAAAAGAAATCTGTGAATTGTAGTAACATATCAACACAATTGAATTTTTTTCTAATTTTTGATTTATGCAGGTGCCATCAAATGTTGGGGAATGCAAACATCTGGACCATAATGATGTTAATACTGATTGTTTGTAAAAAAATGTATGAGATTTATATAACAAATATATATTTAGGTATTCGCAGTTTAGGTTTTTCTTCTACACCTATTTTTTTCTAATTTTTGATTTATGCAGGTGCTATCAAATGCTGGGGAATGCAAACATCTGGACCATAATGATGTTAATACTGATTGTTTGTAAAAAAATGTATGAGATTTATATAACAAATATATATTTAGGTATTCGCAGTATAGGTTTTTCTTCTGAACCTTTCCAGATTAGTAAGTAGATATGAGTGATCTTATAACAGGTTGTGTTATTGACGTTGCTATTTTAACATAAAAAAATCATTAATTCGTAAAGATAGCGCAAAATGTTAATAACACATGCTGTTATAGGATCTCCCATATCCCACCAAATTCCTATATATAAAAGTATAGCAATCTCAGATTTATATGTAGGCAACCATGTTGCACCCTTTAAAATGGCCGCTGACAACCATACAAGTCACCGTGTTGCCATTGAATAGCATGGAATTAAACCTTCTTCAGTGTATATGTTTTGTGGGTAGTACTCTGTGCTCTGTGGCATTAGTGTATATGTTTTGTTTTGTGGTATTCATTAAGTTTTGGCAACTAGTCTTAAAGACAACTTGCTATAATAGAATAATAAAATAATTCTAATCGGATGTTCAAGGCACAAATCTACACCTATTTCCTGGTTTGTAGTGATCGTCGCTGGGCAACATGGAATGAGACCACATTCAAATGGCTTCGACATCTGAGAAAGAAGATATTGAAAAAATTGAAGCAGCATTGCAAACTCAACAAAATGTGGGTATATTTACACTTTAGTGTATGTTATTCCATTAAATATACTTCGGATTTTTAGGACGGTATAGACGAAGTGTTATTCGACGATTTTATTGACAATGACGAAGACGATAGCAGCTTTAAAGAAATATCTGTAAGTTATAAATCATATTTATAACTTTTGGTTTGAATGTAGTTATTTGTCTTTATTTCTTGTTATAATGTTTCTATTGCCCTAATCAAGTAGGATGACTTCAATTGACTTCTCACCTTCATTTTCAAGTTATGCAATAAAAAAAATTATTTGTGTATAGGACAGGACATGTTATATCCCCAGCTATATCAAATGCCTTTCGTTGAAGTGGCATATTAGAATATACCAGAAGATGTAGAGTGATCCATTTTTAAAAATGTCTCTGTTGTCATAAATCACCCTATAGAGAGTGGTATATTTTCCAAGTAGGAAGCATATATGAGTAGTTATCCCTGATTTTTGTAAACATTATCTTTTATAGTGACAGATATCGTCGCCTTCTGGAGAAAATCACGCAACTGCACATTTTCTCAAAAATGAGATTTTTATGCCATCCTTTAGCTACAAAGTTAACCTCTCACTGCACAAAATGTCCAAGCCCCAGACACTATATACTCGTTGAAAGCCGCCAATGCAGTATACGTATCTCCTGACGAAGGTTAGTGTCCCGCGAAAAATGCGTAAACGCCCAGCCTCTCCACATATTTTGTTGTACTTAACGTATCTAATCAACTTTTTGGGAAGCTGTTATTTGTAAGGTGGATGGTGGGTAAAAAATGTAAATCAAGCGAACCGAGAAAAGGGTTTAGCATATAAAGGCAAAATGAAGGTTGATGGAAAATGGAAATATGACATTCTTTGAAACGAGAAATTATTATTTAATTTTTGCAGCTGTAAGATTACAACAAAATCTAGTAAAATAAGAGTGTAGAAAATTGACTCATGCATACCGAGAATATATATTCAACATATGTTGGAATAACATGAATTGGCAGGAGAGCAAAATGTATATGAGAGTATATATGAGCTCCACAAACGATAGACGTGTGTAAAAAGTGCTCTCCTGATTATGTCGAAAATCTACGTTATTACTTCAGTAAATAATCTGATTTTTGAAAGAAATCACAATAGTGCTGTGAGAAGTATGTTGGCAGTGAAACATTGGTGTGCACATATTTTTCATTTGTGGTGAATTGCAGTAAGTAGGATACATTTCTCTTTCAAAAAAGTGTACACAGCAACAAAAAGTGCCAGTTACAAAAAATAACCATCAGAATAACTAGCTGGTTTTATAGTCTAGTTATCCAGGATCATATCTCACAAATATCTGTTTGCATCAAATTTTCACACTTTGATTTAATCATCTTACAATTTTAAAAAGAAAACATAGCCTCACAATCATAATAACCATCCCAAAACAGAATCCTTAATTATAAACAAGGATGGAGGGCAATTAACCCAAAGCCGAGGTATGCATCAAATGTAAAACATAATTTCATGGAGACAATGGTTACTATAAATGTGATTCATGTTTTGGGAGCGTTCATAAGGATTGTGTCAATTTAACATCGTCGGAAGTGCGACGCATGCCACTACAGAAGAGGGTTCTTTTGTGATGAATGCAAGCAATTAATAGCAAGAATGCCCTATATGGTGAAAATGATGGAGGGAATTAAAAGAGAATTAGCAGATTTGAAAGCAAACTACAGAAAAGACACTTATGCAAATGTGTTAAAAAATACAACATCCGCGCCAGATTCCATTAATAAGCCTAGTCTGCCTACCATAATAATTAGGCCTAAAAGCCAACAAAATATAGGCAAGAATAAAGAGGAGGTGCAAAGGTTGATAAATCCATGCGAAATCAATGTTGGAATTAGAAATATTAAGGAAACTAAGAAAGGAAATATTGTACTAAAAAGCGACACAGAACAGGAGCTAGAAAGACTCAAGAAATCAGCAGAAAGAAAACTAAACGGTAAATATGAAGTTCATTTACCAAAAAAGATGTTACCGAAAATTAAAATTGTAGGATATGTGGGTAATAAGGAGATAGAGGAGCTTGAAGAAAGTATAAGGAAGCAGAATACATGGATGCAGTTGAACGGACACTTTAAGATACATTATATTAGAAGACATAAAAATAAAGATACCTCCACAATTTATGCGGAATGTTCAGGAAGCTTATATTCTTATATAATGAAAAATGAAAAAATTTACATAGACTTGGAGTGTCTGCCGGTGTATGAGGATCTGACTGTATCTAGGTGTTTCAAGTGTCAGGGCTTTCAACCCAAAAGTAACCGGTGTCTTAGAAAGCTAGTCTGTGGAAACTGTGCAGGGAGTCACAATACCACAGAATGTGAAAGTCAGGAGAGGACGTGTGTGAACTGTGACACGGCCAATAAGCTGTATAAAATTGGAAATTGGAATCTTGAAGTCTAGAACTGACTATAGTAAATAAGCATAATGGTAAATCACATAAATGAAGAAATTCTAGATATAATTAATGAAGACGATGAGAGAAATAATGGACAGTGAACAGATAAAAACCTTCTTGTCACATAATGCACATTCATTGGCTGTAACCGTGATTCATGTTAATATAAGAAGTATCAACAGAAATTTGGATAATTTTCTGGTTTATATAGTCATATAAGCTAAATAGCTGTGACGTTATTGCTTTCACGGAAACCTTTCAAATTGTGTAGACTGTCTTTGGGCACTTGCCTGGACCATATATTTGTTAGGCAAAAATTAAAAACCAATTATTTATTATTAAATTCTTATATACTCAATGAGGAAATAACGGATCACAGTCCAACAGTGCTTTGTATAACTAATAAAGCACAACCTTCTGGGATTTTGGAGGTTGGGCAAGTTGTAACACGAAACAAACTAAACATAAATAAATTTGAGAAGTTGTTGAATGATTGTGATTGGAATTTGGTATGATCCAGAAATAGCTGTAAAGTTATTTTTGACTACCTACAGGGACTTGCTGTTGAAATCAACAGAAACAATTGCCACAAGAGTATCAATTC